AAAATGTCTGCATTTCTTCAGGATTGGTCATAAACTGCAGACTTAGGGCTACCACTGACTGTGGTTTTTGTCAGGGAATGTCTTTTCTGCTGCGGGTGCTTTCAGAATATGCAGAGTACAGTCACGCGATACTCAAGCGAAGAAAGATCGGAGGGCTTTCCATATTTGTCAAGTTTTACCATATCCCTCCCCATAAGGTTTGTTAGAAGGAAGCCCCTTTTCTCTATGGGGTGCGCTCTCCATCTTGCCGGTCTCCTCCCCTTCTCCCTACCAGCACTTTCTCCTGCCTTGTCAGTATTCGTTAGACTACAAAATCCATTTCTGGTGTTCTGCGAATACACTAATAATAATAAGGAATTGAGCTACTTTCTGCATTAAGCTTACAGACCTCATGTTAACCATGTGGGGTCCTGAAAGGAACTGCCAGAATGCAACCCACAAACCAGAGCAGAAATGCTGCTGATATAAACTAGAGATAGGGAGATGATCCTTTTTCCTCTTTCCTTTCCTAAATCCTTTCCAACTTGGTACATTTATTGTCAGGGACATTGGGACTACTTCATTTTGTTTTTATTAGCAAAGATCAAGGGAGTCCTTTATAAAATGTCTAGTTAAACTACTCATCGTTGGGAAAATCAGTTTTTATACTGTTTCTGTGCTTCCCTCCCACCATTTGATCTTAGAACATAACTACTTAGAAAAGTAGTCATGAGGAAAAAATGTGTTCTTTGAGGCTTGTTCTACATGTTTACAGTTTGTTTCATTGTTAATGATCCTAATTCTAATCTTGGTGGATGGATAGGTGTAGCTAAAATGGACTTGGTTGCTGGATTAGGCACCAGATGCACTGTCGTAAATTATAGTTTTGCCTCTTAGAAACTAACTGAAAGCTTTTGCTCCCAAAGAACAATTTTGTTACTTCTTGGGCCTCTAAGGAAGGCCTTGACTTGCTTACAGTTACTGGCTATAGCTACACCACATGCCCCAGGCAGAATTTTAGTTGATTTTAAAGCCTTTCTTCTTCCCCTGCAGCCCAGCCTGAAAGCCTTTTACCATTCACTACAGGACAGCTGCTGCCTGGGCTTAGTGTGTGGTCCCCTGAATGGCCCAGAGGACCAGGCTGGATGGCAGCCATCAGGTGTTGATACAAGTTTCCTGGCTAATCTTGTCCCTACTTTTTCATATTGAATAGATTTAAAATCAAGTTGACGAGTTTTATGCTCAATAAAATGATTCATATAAATCTATCAATAATCCCTTATAGATACAGTTCAAAAACCCGGTGATGAGCCTGACATAACCTCAAGCAACATACACACTGCTGAGCCTTCGTGTTAGGACTGAAAATGCAGAGTTTGTGTGAAACACAGAGCAATGAATGCAGACAATTTTATTGGCATTAAGGTCACACATAGGGAGAGGTGAGACACCAAGATGGAATGAAATGAGTAGGTCTGGCACTCTGAGTGCCTGGAAGGGGGAAGGTTTGTTAGGAACTGTCCAAAGTGCTGAATTACCCAGCGCTCTAATTTAAAGAATCCTGTCTGACTAACTTCTTCCAGTTGTCCGGAACTTGATATCCATGGTTTCATTAACTACTGACACTAGTGTCTGCCTCAGCCTGTGCTCTGAATGTCATAGCTACTTGATCCTGTGTTCCCCAAGCTGTGACT